ATTAAAACCCTATCCCATCCACCCAATTAAAACCTAAATTATTTTCTCTCTCATCTTTACCTTTCCTTCCCGTCTTCTTTCTTTATATCCTCTCCCCACACATCGTCCCCATTGCCAAGCACCGTTGCCGGAGGACCGCCCCGGAGCTAACTTTATTCTGCTCCGAATCCATTTTCGTCTCTACCTCCTATCCTCTCTCGGTACTTCATCCACCTTTCATTTCTTCTTCAAATGGAGCTTCGCCTAGAGATTTGGTCGACCAGCAAGTCCGACGTGCGCTGCTCTCAGTTTAGTCGCACACGACCCTACAGAGGCCGCTCACGGCTCCTCGCCACTGGTGGCGCTTTAAGATCGACATCGATTGACACTGCTGCAGCCGGTGGTGATTGCCTCTACTCCAACAGTACTTCTCCCATGCCTCCACTTCCAACGATGCCTGAACTTCGACGGTGTGCAGTGGCATCTACTCCCTAGACATCCGATTCCGGTAATCCAAAAGGACTCTGATTTTTGTTGGTGTCGATGGTGGTGGTTTTGTAGTTGAAAATCTTGGTTTGTTGGTGGTTGAAAATGGTGGTGATTATGGTTGTTTTGCTAATGGCTTCGATGGCGCTAATGGTAGTAGCGGTGCTCGTGTTGGCAGTGGTGATTTGGGTGGTGGTGTTGAGGTTGGGAGGAAATTGTATTGTTGGGTGTGTTCGATGGTTGTTTCTGGCCGTGATTGTGTCCTGGTCGTTGTGATGGATTTTAGCAGTGTTCGTGTTGGCGATGGAGATGGTGGTTATGTTGGTGTGTTTGGTGGTAACAGTCATGGTCGATTCTAGCTACGGTGGAGGTGGTGTAGGACAAAGTGGTAGTTTTTGTTGGTAGTTTAGTTGTGGTCGGCGTTTGTTGGTGGTTGTGGTTGTGTTGTTGATGATGATGGTGGCGATGATGGGTGGGTATCTGTGACCAATTATATTTGGTGTCTGTGACCAATTATTTGGTCTTCTGTGAGTGAGTGTTAATTTGTGACCTTGAAATTCATCATTTTGTGACTAAAAAAATAATCCGTGACCATCAAATTTGAAAATGCATGACTTGCAATCTATAATTTTTTGGATGTGTGACCAATGACATAAAATGTGGCCCGTAATTTTTTGATACGTGACCAAATTCTTTGATCTGTGATCTTGATATAATTTTTGACCTATCAAAATTTTTATTTGTGACCTCGAAAAAATCTGTAGCCAATTAATTTGATCATATGTGACTGACGAATAAATATGTGACCATTAATCATGTAACTGTGATTTTATTATCATTATTTAATAAATATTTTTAATTAATTAGTTGAAACCTGAATTTTGCATTAATCAAACTTGTAACTTGAATTTTGAATTATGTATACTTAAAACCTGGTTTGTGTACTCTTCCCATTAAAATATGACAAGTTCATTATATATAGAGCAAAAATATTTTCCTATATAGAATATCATGATTAAGTGTGACTCTATGATATAAATTTACCATCACAAAACATGTGAATAAATTTTTTTTTTTGACATATTACCTTTAAGGCTCGCTACAAATAGTATCATACACTTCTAAATTATAGTGGTATAGGGAGCGCAATTACTAGAGCATGGAAGAATGACAAGTAATAATTTTAACAAGAGTAGCTAGAAAGATTACTTCATTAAATTTATTTATACACAATTAGATCTTTTGCAACTTTTATGTGGTTTGTGTTTGGTCTTGTGAATAGATCTTTTGTGGAGCATGGATATAATTAAGAAATTGTACTATGCTAGCGAGAATTGAGATGTAACATGTTCAATTGAGACTAAGCAAGTTCGTAAATAAATTATAATTGGTTTAAATTATAATAAAATAAAACTAAGTGGATAATACACGTGATTAATTATATTCACCTTACAATTTTTATTTGATGCATTATATTATAATTGCACTTAAGATCCTCAATGTTTTCATTATAACACTTTTGTTCTTGATTTCTTTTTGTCAAATTCTTATTTTTAATCTTTCATTAATTAGCCCATCAAATTCCTTTCGATAGTTTGTGTAAAAATATTATGTCACATACTTAAGAGTTAGGAAAAGTACTTTGACGCACTTTTGCAATTATTTTTTGAAAATATATGTAATTAGTAAATAAATCATTCTATGCTATCACAGTAATCTGACCTTAAATGAAATTAAAATGTAATGTAATTAATAAAAATTGTACTGTATACAACTACCAAATATTCATCGAGCCACAGTATGTACGAATGAAAAAGTAAGTTCAACTAAAAGTGTTTATAATTTATACACTTGCCAAACAAGTACAAAATTAACAAACAAAAATATAATAAAATTGACATAATCATAAAATTAGGAAAAAAAATACCATTTCTCCCAATTTCCTTTCTTACCCCTCGAAAGCCCAAATATCTCTATCTAGTCTATAAAAGAAAATTGGTTTAGTTTACAAAATTGTATTAAAAACAAGTTTTGAGAATGACAAAAGATCTTCCAATTCCGTTAGGAGAGATGTCCTTGTTAACGTTGTGTGACCCAAAACCTACCTTCACGCACTACACGCGCTAGGAAAGTGATGTGGGCCTTGTAGCTTAGCGTGGAGATGAGGTCACTCTGTGACAGTGACCGTTTGCCTTCCAGCTTCACTCGGCTTCGGCTACTTCTTCTTCAGCCGATTCACTATGGAGGTTACGGCTTAGCTCACCGCAGTTTTGTCTCCACGGGGAAGTAGTGCCCTGTTTGTTTTGTCATTTTGTTTGATTATCTGTAACCCTATAGCAACAAAAAGTATGGAGCACGATGCCCAGCAAATTTACCATTTTATCCTTATATTTAAAAAAATAAAATAATGTTGTCTACTTTATTTAAACAAAAAGTATGAAATTAAATGATTTATTTAATTATACCCATCATTTAATACCACATTAATATCACCTAAGTTGAGGTTGTAATCCTAGTGAGGTAAATAGCATTACTTTTTGATAATTCTTCATATTAATTTTGCTTAAAAATAAGTAGATTTCCAAACATGACATGCTTGATATGCTTATAAGCAAATCTATCCCAAATCTGCATACTTGTCTATTTGGAAGATTCTTATTTTCTTTTATGAAGTCCACTCAAATAAAATAATATGAAAGATTTATTGGTCCATTATTTTGATCCATCAACTAGGTAAAATGTCGTACCTTTCCTTGCAAGCACATTTTCAAATTACAACTAGTACGTGACGTCCAAAAAAATTAAAAAAATAATGTATTGATAGACTTTCACGCCACACATTATGTTCGTTAACATGTCAATATTTATGATAATGATACAAAGTGAAAGCCTTTAAACAAAAAATGGTGATGGTAATTTCGCTATTTTGAAATTTTAAAAACTTTGATAACTAAACTAGAGAATAGTTAACTTCGATAACTTGGCTATTTAACTTTGGTTTAAATAAAAAATATTTTTCTAGTAAATTTTGATAAAAATTGATGGAATGTGTACTTGAAAAATTAATTGTTAATTTTAACTTAAATTTTAATCTATTTTCTTTTGTTCAACCAAACATGGACTAAAAATAAAATGGTTCAATCTAAAATCCTATCATATTTTTTTATGGAAACTTTTAAACGACACTTTTTTTCTATTATTCTTTTTTTTTTTGTTGAATTTAAATTTTTAAGCAAAGCAAAATACGTATTCACCCATAAATTTATTGTTTCGACTTTCACATTTAATTTAAAAATATTTTTATTACATAAAATATTAAAGGTTTGTTTTATGCGAACTTTTTCTCTCAAATTATTTTTAATTGCACATTCGATTCACTATGTTTTTCTACTTTTTCAACCACATGTCCTCTAAGAAAATTTATTATTTACCAAGTTCTTTTAATATAAAAATTACAAAATATGAATATGATGTTTGTCCAGACTCAAAGACAGGAAAAAAAATAGATGATTTGATAGCAGATGATTGGGTATTTGTTGTTTTTATTTTTCAAATAATTCAATTATGTATCGACACGTGTGCTCCATATTTTTGAACTTATTCTTTAGCTTATTTGTAGAGCATAATTCTAAAAAATAAAAGAAGAATATTCGAGAAATTACCTACCGGGAATAAACCACAACGTGGCATCCAAGAAAACACTCGCTAGTCACTAAAACAAAATGGGGGGAAATAAAAGAAAAAAAATTGAACTGTAGCTTGTGGCTTGAATCTGCATCTGGAGCAGCTTGAGCCGGATTTTACCAGTAGACCCACCGACAGCGGTAGCCTGTCCGAACCTTAAAGTCTAGCAATGTAATTTTACCTTTCTCCTCTCACTTTCCATATGTCCTACCATTTTTGGCCTCTCCCCTCTTTAATGTTAATACTTGTCTTTCTAATATTGACTAATGACATTTTCCAGAATTAGACCAACAAAATTTTGTTTTAAATATATCATAGCCGATTTTATAATTCTAAATCATAATATTCAATGCTATTCCATCTATTGAAAAAACTTCAAAGTTCGAAATAATACACTGCAATATGTTGATAGTCGGAGCCGCTACAATAAAATGCATGTAGGAATGTGATTAGTGGGGTCTCATTTCGAAACTTCTATCTCTCATCGAGTAGTCGTACCCTAGCAGTGACGACCAGATAGTCATATCTATTACTATTTCTTCCGTAAGTAAAATAAAATGTGATTATATTATAATTTTATCCATCTTATTTAAACTTACATCTAAAATTCCTTTAGGGAGTGGAGCAATTATGAATCCCTATCCTGTCAAAAGTTGTTTTCAAGATTAAAAAATTAATTCTAAACATTTTCGTATAATTTTTGTCTAATTAGAAAAGTTTTTAAATTTTTTTTTTTCATGAATTTCTTTTACAATAAGTAAAAACCCTACTCATAACAAGTTGTTAGGTCCAAACAATTATTAAATCATCATTAATTCCACCCTTTTGTGTACACACGTCTGTGGCCTTTTTAGTCTCCAAGCAATCCCATATTTACTCTCTTTGTGAATTTCAATCCCCTCTTTACCTTTTAGCTTTTACCCACTCCCGCTTGCTCCTGCTTTAAGACTCCACCAAACAATACAACACAAACCCACCTCCCAAATCAGGTTCACCGTCCCAAAAAACCCCATTCTAGAGAGAGAAACCAGATTGTGGTAGAGAGAGAAAGCGAAGTGTTTTAGAGAGAGAAAGTAAAGTAATTAAACGGCCATGGATTTTCACATCTATGGCGTCTCGAGAATCATCTTCTACACTATCTTCACTGTTCTTGCCATCACAGGTGCTGCATTGCAACAAAATCAAAATCCATCGGCAAAGAACTTGGTCGCAGGGTCCTCAAACTCAGTCCAGATTAACTCCAACTCAGTTCTTGTTGCCCTTTTGGATTCTCACTATACTGAGTTATCAGAACTCGTGGAAAAAGCACTTTTGCTGCAAACCCTTGAAGAGGCAGTTTCGAAACATAATATTACAATCTTTGCTCCCAGGAATGAGGCTTTGGAAAGGGATTTGGATCCCGAGTTCAAGCGGTTTTTGCTCGAGCCGGGGAATCTGAAATCTCTTCAAAATCTGTTGCTTTTTCATATGATTCCGACACGCATTGAGTCGACTCGCTGGCCTGTGAAGGTAGAAAAACCCAATAATCATAACAGCTTGGCCAGGGATTCCAATGGAGAAACACTTGAAGTGGTTGAAAAAAATGGAGAAAAACTTGTGGGCATTGCGAAGATTATCAAACCCGATGATATAACCCGACCCGATGGAATTATCCACGGCATTGAGAGAGTGTTGATCCCGAAATCTGTTCAACAAGATTTCAATACTCGCCGGAGTTTGAGGTCCATTTCTGCCGTGCTGCCGGAGGGAGCACCGGAAGTTGACCCAAGAACACACAGATTGAAGAAACCAGCACCAGTCCCTGCGGGAGCGCCTCCTGTTCTACCCGTTTATGATGCCATGGCACCTGGTCCGTCCCTGGCGCCGGCGCCCGCTCCGGGGCCAGGTGGACCTCACCACCACTTCGACGGCGAGAGCCAGGTGAAGGACTTCATCCAAACTCTTCTACATTACGGTGGCTACAACGAAATGGCGGACATTCTTGTAAATCTCACGTCCTTAGCAACTGAAATGGGACGATTAGTCTCCGAAGGGTATGTATTAACAGTTTTAGCTCCAAATGATGAGGCCATGGCGAAATTGACTACAGATCAGTTGAGTGAACCCGGGGCGCCGGAGCAAATAATGTATTATCATTTGATACCGGAGTACCAAACGGAGGAAAGTATGTACAATGCCGTAAGGAGATTTGGGAAAGTCCGGTATGATACTCTCCGGCTTCCGCACAAAGTGGTGGCGGAGGAGGCTGATGGGTCGGTAAAATTTGGACAAGGCGAAGGCTCTGCTTATTTGTTCGATCCTGATATTTATACAGATGGGAGAATTTCTGTTCAAGGGATTGACGGGGTTTTGTTTCCTGTTGAGGAAAATAAGGCTGCGCCGCCTAAACCTGCCGCGGCCGTTACCAAGGTTGTCGGAAAACCCAGAAGAGGTATGTTCTTCTAGCCATTCCTAATTTTCCCGAATTTTCAGTGACTTAATTGAATTCTTATGTGAAAGAAAGAATTGATTTTTACCCCCAAAATATGCTTCAATTGTTGTGTATATCTGTATCTAAATAATTGTTTTATTGGTAAAAATGTTTCTGAACAGAATTTCGTGCCAAGAATTTCATCTATTGGTAAATTTATCAGGAATTTATTGAGAATCCGACTTAGTTTGATGGATTATTGATTGAATTTGTGGCAGAGGTGATGGTGATAATTTCTTGTAATATAGATTTATCGAGAACCCAGCTTAGTTTAATGGATCTTTGACTGAATTTATGGGAAGATTTTATGGTGAGAAGAAAGGAATAATTCACTAACAGCATGTATTAAAGGTGCTTATAAACGTTTTAACTTATAAATAGATAGAAATGATTGGTAGATAAGTCAATAGTACTTGACGTTCTCTTGAATGCCACTTTAGTTTTTTTATCACCTCTTCTTTCTTCTTCAATGAGCAAAATTTGAACTATTTTAATTCCCTCTATACCGGTCGAGCTATTGGCATATAAGCTTGTACTTAACTCGTAGATAAAAATGAGTCCATGTTAGGGAAACTCGTTAGGCAGAATGTTGTGCTCACATTTCACTTTCGGACAAATAGTTTAGTATTGAATGGTATGAATTGAGCCATGCCTTTAAGACAAATATTTTAGTATTCAATATTAGGTACAAATTGTGTCGGTGAAGCAATAGAAAATGAATGGCATCTCACATCAAATTACCCTTCCAAAATGGGTTTATACTTTGTAGGAGTAAAAGTTACTTTAAAGTTCTGTTTCTAATTTTGTTTAGATATATTGAGTTACTTATTCTGATAGTAATTTTTACCTCACCGTCATAGCAAGTAGCTTACTTTATTTCCACCTTTGAGTCTTCGACTAATATAAATTTAATTAATTATTTACTTATAAGTCAACTTCTTAAGCTTAACCAAACATGTTGAGTTAAGAAAGATACAATTCCAGCCTAGCCTTAGCTGTGATTCTTTACTTCTATGTTGAGACCAACTTGTCTTTTGACTTATTCTATAGTTACAACACGTATACAATCATATATCATAATTTGGCATGTCATAAACTCGTACTCCTTGTCGTTTCATATTTTTACAAGCTCTTAGACAATGTTGTTCACATTTTTGAGGTCAGACATATGAATAAACTAATATTGTCATGTTCGATAAGATAGACGTGACAGTATGACGAATGAAATTAAAACTATTATTTTGTTCGGTCGAACTTTCGTGGTTTGTCATTTGCTCATCTGATTCCATCTTTCTGTATGTGCAGGGAAGTTAATGGAGATGGCTTGCGGTATGGTTGGGGCCATTGGTCATTTTACTAGCTGTAACTGAATTATCATACTCAGAAAAATCTGATTAAAAAAAAAAAAGAAAAAGAAAATGAAACAAAGAAGATGCAGAAAGGGTAAGTATATATTTACTCATTTTCTCTGGTAAAATTATTTTTGGATTATTTTTAAACTAATATAACTTTTTTTTTTTTTTTTTGGGAAATATGGCAGTTTTTTAGGATGATGATACAAGGGGTGGGGGAGGGATCCAGCAGAACCCACAACTGGGGGGAGTTTTCTTGTTATCTTGTAATGTAATTACATAATCCATTTTTTTTATTTGTATTAAAATAAATAATATACTATACTTGGAAGAATGTCAACTTGTTTGCTGTTTTGACTTTTGAGTCTTTTTTTTTTGTTTTTTTGTTCAAGTATTATTTTTTATTTCGATTTGTATTTGGAATAATGGATCCCTTTATGATGTAGTTTCAAGTTTGGGACTTGCAGTAGGGTGTTTCTTTAAATTAAATTTTTTTTACTTATGAGTGAAAATAATTTTTCAAAAATATATGTTTTAGAAATTCTTTAAGGCGCTGTTTGGCATGGTGCAATATGAGGCCTCAATCTGTAGATTTTTATCATGATTTTTGCATGCTCTAATAATTAATGATTAATCACATCAAAAAAAAGTAAAGTGAGCTGGCTCACGTGGAATTATTAGTTTGAAAATGAATAGAGGGTTCCATTGACTTTATTCTTTTATTCTTTGTTTGGCAAATGGAAAAAGGCTAAACTTCACTCATAAGTTAACACAGACAAGCCATGATGGGAAATTCAGAGCACAAAATTCATCCATGTTCCACCAATTGGTTTGAGAGTAGCATTTAGCTTAATTCTAAATGAATATGGTCGGTGCATAAAAATTATAAATTAAATTTACCTTAAATTAATTAATAATAAAAATTAGTTTGGTTCTCATTGTATTTAATGTAGGAAATAACAAATGTTTTTTTTATATTCTATATTCAATGGCATGAAATTTTTGGACTTTCCTCATTATTTATTTATTTATGTTTCATTGATTGCATTGCACTTGAGAGCATATTTTTACTAGTTAGTTGATTGCGTTATTCTTTCACATAAAATAAAAGTTATTGGAATTTTGACTTATGAGCCAAAAATAATAAACCGAACTTGATCGATCTCATAGAATTTCTCAATTTTTTTGGGACCTATGAAATGCGAAATATGAAATTATCGACAATTTGTCACAAGACAAGCCATTTTCAATAATTAAAACATTATTTTCTAGCTATCATAAAATGAAAAAAAAAATAAAAAAAAATCAATCCAATGTTCGTGAATATAATCCTAGTTTATTATTTCTTGATGCTAACCTAATGGATTTGTATACATAATAAAAAAATAGAAAGAAAAAAAAAATTCCTTTTTATTTGATGTCAATAGACTGGCATTGCCTCCCTAAATCCAATATTGATATTATTATTCTGTAAATTTTTCTTACCCAAATCTGTATTCCCTTTATGCATCATGTCCACAAATTCATTGTAATCTATCCTTCCATCCTGAAAAAGTAAAAAATGAGGGATTATTAATGGTGGATGAATACACAAATCCTAAGTATTTGTTTGGAAGAGATTATTTGAAGTGTTTCTACTCTCAAGAAGTTGGAGACTTACATTGTTTTGATCAACCTCTTGAATCATTTCTTCCAAGTGATCATCCTCCACCCCGAACTCTACACAAGCCTTTTGAAGTTCATCTCGTGTAATATAACCACTTCTATCTTTGTCGAAGTATGAAAAAGCTATGAATAAATTATCTTCCTTCTCAATTTTGTTCAGATGCAACGTTGCAGCAATGAACTCACCATAGTCAATCGTACCACTATTATCAACATCAGCCTACATTTCAAGAAAACATATTGGAGCTAAGAGATGAATATGGTATATCATCATATAATATGTATGCAAACTTGTAGAAGTGGGAGATTGAAAATAATACTTACGGCCTTCAGCAAATCATATATCTCAGACTCATCAAGATTAGCTCCAAATCGTTCTAGACCGGCCTTGAGTTCTTCAAAAGTGATATGACCACTGTTGTCCGTGTCTAATATTTTGAACAATTCTTTTAACCCTGCAATTTCTTCTTGGGAGAGATTTTCTGCAATGACCTACAACCAGACAAATTGGTTCAAGAATAGCAACAAACACTGAGCCCATGTTTGGTAGGACGATTGCACGCCGAACAGTATAATAAAAAGAAATTAACACCGAACATGCAATAAAAACGCATGCGAAACATAAATTGTACTTCTGTTCTATAATTATATATGTATATGCATCAATAATGAAAGGAATTACAGTCTCTATATTATCAATTGCTCAATGACCTATTTTCTCTCCGCTTTCTGGTTAAGATGTAAAAAACATACCCTAAGAGCCATTTTCTTAAGCTTGTTCATGGCCGAAAACTGTTTCAAGCGACTTAAAACTGCAGAATCAAGAGGCTTGTTGGGAGCTAATCCATTGACCTGCACCCATGGGTGGCCTGCAGGAAAAAACAGTTTTAAACTGAATAGAACAACTAAATATGTAAAATGAAAATCTGCAGTTAGAAACAAACAATTCCACAGTTTTTCAAATTTTATGTTAACGAGTTATTCCAATGGATAATAATAAATGTTAAATCGACTCGAGAAATAACAGCTGTCCATATATAGTGATAACTCGATGTCACACGTCGACAGATTATCACAATCCAACAAGAAAACGACAAAGAATCTACAAATTTGCAAAACATTAATTCAATATTAGTGAAACGAAACTTGAAACTTCTACAGTTAATCCTTATATATAATCAAGATTTCAAGTATTTTAAGCAAAAAGATAAAAGAGTGATCATTAAACTGTACTCAATGGCGTTGTCTTTTACACATACTAACCATAAAGGTAAAACTAATTAATGAAACTTACAAAGAATTTCATGAGCAGTTAGCCTCTTTCTTGGATCTCTTACAAGCATTTTCTTCACCAAGTCTTTAGCACTTTCTGATATTTTGGGCCAAGGATCTGATGAGAAGTCAAGATCACCATACAGAACCTCTTCAAATATTTCTTGCTCACTTTCTGTGAAATTAAACAGAAGCAAGAAGCGTGAGAACTCTTGGTGTATGAATGCAGGTGCAAGCAAATTTAAGGGCATAAATTAGCTATAACTTACCACCCCAAAATGGAGGCACGCCACAAAGAAGCGTATAAATAATCACACCTGCACTCCATACATCTGCCTCTGGTCCATAACGCTTGCGAAGCACTTCCGGAGCAACATAATAAGGGCTCCCAATCACATCAGTGAAAATTTGCCCTGTTGTTTATACATGAAAATTAACTTCTATACCTAAAGTTCATGGTGAAAAAACTCCCTCGTAAATTTAACTAATTACACTCCTTTCCATCTATGTTTACATATTAACTTGCAAGAGATTATATCTATCATAGTTCTCAGGGTAACCAAAGAGTCTATTAAACGAACACTGCACTTAATCAAGAAAGATGATGTTTTTGGAATATACCTGGTTCGAAGAACATGGATAATCCAAAATCTATAGTCTTTAAGGGCGAATCATCATCCTCGTTCACAAAGAGAAAGTTCTCGGGTTTGAGGTCTCCGTGCATGACCCCCAAAGAATGGCACGATTCTATTACACCAACTATTGTCCTTGTAAGCTCAGCTGCCTTTTTCTCTGAATAATGCCCCTGCTTAACAATTCTATCAAACAATTCGCCTCCTGTACACAATTCCATGACAACATGAACTGCCACAGAATCCTCATAAGCCCCTTTAATAGAAATGATATTAGGATGCCCGGATAAATGATACATGATCTCAATTTCTCTCCTCACATCCTCAACATCATCCATAGTTAATAATTTCCTCTTTGCGATGGATTTACATGCGTACTCATTTTGCGTTTCTTTCTCCACGCAAAGAAAAGTCGTTCCATACTGTCCGTGTCCAAGTTTGTGCCCCAAATTATAATACTCTTTCAAATGTCCTGTTTTGGTTCTTAGCACTGAAGCCACCTGAAGACCAGCACTTGCCAATCTCTTTACATTGTGAGGTTGCTTGGGTTTTGTGGGTTGCACTGGTTTTGCCTTCTCCTTCATGATCATGATCAAGTGGTCCGGTGTAGTGGTTTGAACAATACTTCCATCCTTATTCGTGATCTTGATCACCTCTTCCCATCTTCTAGCATCAGTTTGTTTTCCCTCTTCTGTAACTATGATCATCGTTTCAGATTTCACGGGCTGTACTACATTATACTCATCCTTGTCTACCTTCACCAATTCCGGGGGCTTATTCTGAAGAGGATTCCGAGCTTCTAGCTCTTTCGCAACATTTGATCCAACCTGACTTGTTTCTTTGTTGTTATATGTAATCACATCAGGCCACCGCAGTGAATGATAAATCGAATGGAAAAACCCATCCTCAGAAATCCTTTCACTAATGCAATTGTTTCCCATCTATTGCTGCTTTTCCCCCCCTTCTATTGAGAATTAAACTCAAGCACCATAAACCTCTTTAACACTTCACAGCTTTAACAAATCAAATAATTAATTTTAAAGAATTTCAATACTACGATTAGAGGGGGGGAAATCAGAACAACCCTTTTACGTGAAAACAATTGATCAATCAATCAAGAACTTGTAAAGAAACTACACCCAATAATTAAAGTAAAATCCTCAATCAATCAATCCAAAACTCCTATTCCGAAACACTGCAAGAAAACAGAAAAACACCATATAAATAACTTCAAAACCTTCTGCTATCATTTGAAACCTAAGAATCTAAAGACTTTCGAAGGCAAAATAATATGAACCCATAAAAACCCGAAAGGTTATTTATTGAAAATGTCAGAGAGAAATAAATTCCATGGCTCATTGTATGTACAAGACTACTATGGAAAAATGGAAGAGTTTATTGTGTTTGAAAAATATTTTGTTTACCAATTCTCTCACTATATATACACAAATATATAATTCTGACTATGTGTGAAACGTGGGAATGGATTGAATTTTTCTCTCCCTCCTTTCTTGAAATAAACGCAAATCGGAAGAGAGAATTGACAGGTTTTTCTGGTAGAAAATTGGAATGTTTCAAAATGTAAACGCGTAATCTAATAATTAATACCGAGCGCTTTCATATCTCTCTTTTTTCTCATTTTTTCTAATCTTTTTTAAAATTCTAGATACTTGTAGAATAAGTACTTTTTCTGGGGTATCTCTTAATTTGCAGATTAGGCTGTTTTTACTATTCAAGCCGTAATTTTTGACTTCTTCTATTACATGTGGACCCCACTTTTTTTCTAACGATCAAAAAATCAATTCTCAAAATCTCTACCAAACGGACCCTATATCGTACATAAATATTATTAATATTTTCCTGACGAAATGTTATGGTACAAAGTACTAAGTAATTACAATAATAGAATTAATTTAAAATTTAATTAATATAAAATTTAAGTTGTTTAAAAAATAGATGTTTTTTGAAGGTCCCGTCCATTTGTGAATAATTTACCGATCTAGTTTAACTTAAGAAATTTGTAATCTCAACTTGGAGTATCTTAAAAATTAATAAAAAATCAAGTCAAAAGGATTTACAATTTTTCAATCACATTTCATCATGTTTCATCAAAATTTAATAAAACTTTGATTTTTAGTTACATCAAACAAGGGTGTATTCTCTAATACAATATTAAATCATTTCATCTAAAAATTCGAGCTTTTTAACGATAAGACATGTTTGATTATTTAATTTTGTATTTAGCAGCGATGAATAAAATTAAACAATGGATTATTGTCTCTTGGGGCATAGCCCAGTGGTGCAAAGGACAGGAGTGATGTTATCTCACACCTTACTGATCGTCACAGTGTGGGCATTAGATTCTTGAGACATGGAATTGGATTCCTTATAGGCGTAGTGTACAGACAGTTCTTATTTTCTGGCTTGTTGGCGGCACATTCCGTGATTTACCTCTCTCACAAAGTTCTAGGAATGGGACGATAGAGCCCTCAAGGTTGGGATTCTTCCTTTAAACAATGGATTATCGATCAATGTTTGACTACGTAAATCGAGGGAAAAAAATCAGTAAGTGATGTGCATGTCCGCCAGAGTGGGAACCCACGAAGGGGGATAACTCTTTGAATATTTCACAATTCATGTTATTATAAATATTAATAATATCAAATTTGCGGATTGACCGGCAGACGCCGGCTGCCAGCCGATGCCAGACTCCGGGCGATAATTTTTGCATAATCTATTCTTTCCTTGTTGCATTGATGCAAAATCAGTGGCATTACACCATAAAAATAAAAATGAGAATAATACTATTTGCAGTTGTTTACTATCGTAGTTGCTCTATGTGACATACATGTAACGATTAGTAATTTGATGTATAAGGTAATAAAAAAATGCTACATTAATGTATCAAATCAATAATTGTCACATATACATCACGTAGGACGACTATGACAGTGAGCTACTGTAAATATCATTACTGTAAAAATAATGAGTAAAATACATGTTATATAGAGATTTCAATAGAATAGAAACTTATAAGAAAAATGTTATCTTAATTTTTATAAAAAGATTTTTAATAACTGTGTTCAATGGTATACGACAATTCTTAGCTTTGGTGTTAGCTATATTGAATTTATTAACACTGTCATATTACGAAGGTTTTAAGTTTTATTTATATTTTCTTTTTGGTTGAGGAGAGAAAATTGTAGGATGAAGTGTTCATAAAACGAACGTCACAAAATTGATAACGTGAAGATACATACACAATTAGTAATAAACGTACACCAATTAGAAATTGCAAGATAATGACAATGTGAAATTTATTAACATCTTATTGTCACTAAAGATCTTAATTTGCCACACCATTAAGGTGACTAGCATAAAATTTTAGCCCCTGTATGATTTTCATTCTTTGAAAAAAAATACATTTTTAAACAGTATTTTGACATTATTTCAATATACATTCTTCAATAAAATAATATTACATGCAATTCTAAAACTTTTCTTTATTTTTTAATCACACATTTCTCATCAATACACTATTAAAAAATTCATTCTTATCAAAAGAGTGGAACTCAAACGAGGGCTTAAAAGATAGGCAATATGACCTCCATTAAATCTCATCAAATTAAATTAAAATTTTCTCTCTCATATTTTCAACCACACAATTTTCAATAAAATAATATCAAAAGTAAATCGAAAACTTTTCATTCTTTTACAACTATCCATTATTCAAAAAAAATAAAAAAATAAATAAACATTACTTCTCCTATTATAATACAAATTACGGGAGTCAAACGGAGGCTTAGATCCTTTTGGATGACTAAAAAGGGGTGCCATCATTAGTGAAGGCTTGTCAATGAAGTGGACATGGCACTCAAGGCAAATTTCTCACACGAGGAAAATTATTTCAAACGAAAAGATATGAATTTGAAGACCGAGTAGTGAACGCGACTTTAAAGTCTTATAAACAATATTTTAGCTTAATTTTTTTCCTCGACCTTGTTCGACTTGGAATAGGAAACATGGGTTGATAATATGATGGGCAAAATTTTGAGTTTTTTTTCTTCCTTAATACTATTCAAACGTTTGAAGTTGGAAGGGACTCAGAAATGATAAATTCCCGTCTCTTTCAAGAGTCCTTTCTTGGGTACAAGTGCATTCATGCCAAGGACTTGCAACACTAACAAAGCACTAAAGAACAATAAATACAACGTCAAGTGTCATAAAGTTCATTATCCCCAAAAAAAAAAAAAAAAAAAAGGTTGAAAACCCCAACCTTGAGGGCTCCCATCGCCACGCCTTGGAGCATCGTAAGGGAGGTAAATCGTGAGATGTGCTCCAGCAGGCCAGGGAACAAGAGCTTGTCCGTACACTGTGCCTACAAAGGATCCTGTTGACCCCAAAATATGTTGCCAACAGATATTGGACCCACTCAAGCACACGTAAGCCTAATCTAACACGCTAAGACACGTGGACGGTCTAGAAATAATAGCAAAAGGAGGCGTGGGAGCGACTCAAAGGCGTGGGACGAGAATGTTCGAAATCCGATGAGATGTTTGCATAATGATTGTACAATAATTACCAATTGATCTTTGTAGAATGCAATATGAATTCGTGTATGTTGTAAGAGAGTAAATGTAAAGCATGTTGTATTTATTCTTGTGTTGAATCTTGCATTACCCCTTTGAGAGATACATGGGAGAGTATTTATAGTATTACAACTTAGATCGTGACCCTTCGTTGGGAGTACACGTGGCCTTATCTCGTAAGTTTACATGTCAAATTATAGGCATCATACTTGACTTTCTAACCTGCTACACATTTATTAATTGTCGGCTCCGCCACTACATTGATAGGACAAGGCACTTGTACTCTATGATGGGTGTCCTGTCAATCACCCAGGAAGGATCATTGTGTAAGACCGGATCCTTGGGGAGGAGCGCTGCTTAGAGCCTTAAGACTTTGGAAGGGAAGGGCCTTGGCTACAAGATCTCCTCGGCATATTAGCTTCGGCGGTAGCACTTGGACCACGTCTGGCGTTGTTATAGTATGCTGGTGAACTTTTGTTGGCATGGGGCCATTGGGCCTCGGATAAGATTTCAAGCGGTTCGGAAGAAGTGGGCCATAGGCCCCAGTGGGTCGGCCAAGTTTATCAACATGTAAAAATAGTCCCCCAAGTCCAAGTATGAACATTTATGTAATAGATAGAGTTGAAAGTGGTGGTGTTGCTGTGATTGGAGAAGGTGATGGAGGAGTTTCGAACCTGTCGAGTCTTGCGAAGATGTGGATAAACTGCGAAGAAGTAGACGAGGAAGCCGAGGTGGTGAAGTGGATCGAATTTGTCGAGGTTTGCGAAGATGTGGCTTAACTACAAAGAAGCAGATGAAGAAGTCGAGGAATTGAAGTAGATCGAACTTGTCGAGGCTTACGAAGATGTGGATGAACTGTGAAGAAGTAGATGAGAAAGCCGAGGCGGTGAAGTGGATCGAACCTGCCGAGGCTTGCGAAGAGATGATTGTCTTCGATGTTTGTGCCAATGATTTGATATTTTATGCATGTTATCAAGAAAATGCAGTCGAGCCGTTCCGACTTCCAAGGCACATACGGCTGCTGCATTGAATGTGCAATGATGGCTACAGCTGGGGTGTCTAAAAGGAGACGCGTTTGGAGAGGTGTGTGGGGAGCATGTTTGCATCAGAGGCTTTGATTTTGAAAACGGTTTGAATTCTACGCCTTGGATTCGATCTGCAATAAAAGGCCCAGATTTTATGAGTCTTGATCTGATGGCTGGTGTTCGACCTGAACTTGTATAAAAGGTAGGAGACTCCCATTTTGTGACCTTTCAATCTTTGCAATTCTTTGTGTTTCTTGAAAATATCATATTTCGGCGTTGAAACTTTGCTCCGTTCTCATTTTTCGACATCCTTCAGTTTCCTTAGTCGATTGCGTAGGTATTTCTTGCAAGAATAACTTGTTTTGCGATCTTTGTCCATTTTCCAAACTTATTCTGATATGGAGTCCACTTCGGGTAGGGGTAGTTACTATCGCGTCGTTTGGAGAGGGGACAGTTTTAGAGGGGACTCCGAGGTCGAGCATTGTGCTATAACCGAGGAGCCCGTAAATTACGAGGAGGAGTGGGGTGTGTCCAGGATACCCTCAAATATGACCCAGAAGAGGTTGGGGGAGATCAGGGAGAAGTACTGCGTGCCTCATAACATAGAAATGTTAGTCCCCGAGGCTGATGAACGGGCTTGTTATCCAAGGCTCGGATGTGTCGCAGTTAGTGCATATTTATTTAAGGTGGGTATGTGTCTTCCTCTACACCCCTTCTTCAGGGCAATGCTAAGGAATTTTATGTTGTCACTGACCCAGGTTCTACCGAACGGGTAGAGCCAGTTGGTGGGGTCTTACTTCCTGTGGAAGGAAGTGTCGATTAGGGAGGATATGCCTTTGCATGTCTTCTAGACCCTCTTCCAGCCAAGAGTTTTGGGCAAAGATGAGTCGAAGGGGTGGTACTACATTACTCCCTGGGGGTCGCACGCCCCTTTTGTGGTAGGATTGCCTTCT